CTCTCACACACACTCTCTCTCTCTCTCACTCTCACACACACACACACACACACACACACACACACACACACACACACACACACACACACACACACACACACACCTGCTGGTTAGTCGTCCTCTCTTGACGAGTGTTTTCAGAGACTCGTCCTTCAGGTCTCTCTTGAGTAGCGACGGCCGACCACGCAGACGAGGAGCAGCTTCATATGGAGACACAACCATTCTGAGGGAACACACACACACACACACACACACACACACACACACACAATCTATTGAGTGTAATCTCTATTACATATATATACATGTTACAATATTACATGTAATATTTCACCACCAAATCCAGCATTTTGCAAACAAACACAACCAGCTTCATGAAGAATCGCTCGACTCAAACAGAACCCTGTGCAAAAGCTGATGTGTGAACCCCAGTGCTGTTACTGATACTTCATGAGTAAACACAGCTGATCTGCACGCAGCCTTTACACACGTGTTCACTACACCATGTATTCAGTACAGCTGCACATCAGTCTTCTACTTCTCTTCATTTTCCCTGTTTATTAATAATGTACTGAACATTTCCCCCAGCATATTAATGAGTGAGCAGTAATGTCTGTACTGTATCTTCAGTGTTGCTGTTAGATTAGTGGATCAGTTTTGTCTTTGGTACTCACTAATCTAATGTATCTGCACACACACATACATCACTGTAGAGAGCATTACTGTGACAGAGATCTGTGAGGGGGAACTCAGTTATGATGAACACTGTGCGTTTATAATAACACTTGAACAAAAAAAAAGATGCAGACCCTAAAAACACACACACGCACACACACGCACGCACGCGGACGCACACACATTAATGTTGAGTTGCGTGCGGAAACACAGATCTGCAGTGTTTGACAGGACTCCTCCAGACACACACTGACGGACCGCAGATGCAGACCAGAGGAACACGGTTCATCATTTACACATCCGCTCATCAGGAAACACACTCCACACAGCAGCACTACTCTGCTGGATCAGCTTGTCGGATGCTCATCATAACCGCACTTTTGAACGTACCAAAAACATTTCCTAAAGATAAATATGAAGAAAATATGAGAAAAAGAAACTTATTTTTAATGGGCAAATTTATTGCATCATTTATCATTAGAAAAAATAGGAATGTGTTAAAGTTTTCAGTTATAAACTGCAGCATACTGTCATTTATTAGGCAAATAACAAACTGGCCAGCAGGTTTACCTGTCCTCAGTCAGAATCTGGCCATTTGAATAATAATAATGAAAATAATAATAATAATAATAATAATAATAATAATAATAACAACAATAATAATATCAATCATAATTATAATAATCATAGTAATAATACTTTTACTACTACTACTACTACTACTAATAATAATAATAATAATAATACTATTACTACTAATAATATTAATAATAACGATAATAATAATAATAGTAATAATTATTATTATAATAATTATAATAATAATAACGATAATAATAATAATAATAATAACAATAACAATAATACTAATAATAATTATAATAATTATAATAATAATATTAGTAATACTACTACTACTACTACTACTACTAATAATAATACTAATAATAATAATAATACTAGTATTACTATTACTAATAATAATATTAGTATTAATAATAATAATAATAATAATAATATTAATGCTAATACTACTACTACTACTACTACTACTAATAATATTAATAATAACGATAATAATAATAATAGTAATAATTATTATTATAATAATTATAATAATAATAACGATAATAATAATAATAATAATAACAATAACAATAATACTAATAATAATTATAATAATTATAATAATAATATTAGTAATACTACTACTACTACTACTACTACTAATAATAATACTAATAATAATAATAATACTAGTATTACTATTACTAATAATAATATTAGTATTAATAATAATAATAATAATAATAATATTAATGCTAATACTACTACTACTACTACTACTACTAATAATAATAATATTAATAACAAAAATAATAATTATTATAATAATATAACTATAAATACTACTACTACTACTACTACTAATAATAATAATAATAATAATAATATTAATAATAATAATAATGTAGAGCTTCATGATTATTCTAACCTCTCTTGTGTAAAAACAGTGCATATTAAAATTCAAGGATAATAACAATAGTCTAATCAGTACTGAAATGAGCTTTAATAAGAGCCACTGTTGGTGCTTCCCTCCTTTTTACCGTTTATTCTTCAAGAATAAACTCAATATTTACAATAAAAGTTCCTTGTAAAATGTTTTCTCTGTTGGCAATACAGCAGGTCAGCGGTGAAAGAGGACTTCACTCACATCGGGTTGTGTTCTTGCTCAGTGTGATGTTGGACTAATAGTTTGCATTGGGAAAAAAACTGGGGGGAGGGGGGTGGCACGGTGGAGCAGTGGTTAGCACTGTGACCTCACAGCAAGAAGGTCGCTGGTTTGAGTCAGTTGGTGTTTCTGTGTGGAGTTTGCATGTTCTCCCCGTGTTTGTGTGGGTTTCCTTAGGGTGCCCTGGTTTCCCCCACAGTCCAAAGACATGTGCTATAGGGGAACTGAATAAACTAAATTGTCCATAGTGTATGAGTGTGTGAGTGAATGCGAAAGTGTATGGATGTTTCCCAGAGATGGGTTGCAGCTGGAAGGGCATTGGCTGTGTAAAACATGTGCTGGATAAGTTGGCGGTTCATTCCGCTTTGGCGACCCCGGATTAATAAAGAGACTAAGCTGACAGGAAAATGAATTAATGAATGTATGAGTGTGTGTGTGTGTGTGAGAATGAGTGTGTTTGGGTGTTTCCCAGTACTAGGTTGCGGCTGGAAGGGCATCCGCTGTATAAAGCATATGCTAGTTGGTGGTTCCTCCCCTGATAAATAAGAGTCTAAGCCGAGGGAAAATGAACTGAAGGGATGGACACAGCTCTGCACCTATTGGCCAGTTATGGTACTGCACTGTAGATGAGGTTTAGTCTTACTTTGGGTTTCTGTCAGTGTGCAGTCCAGAATTAAACACATGCAGATTATTTCTGTGGCTGACTTAAACATTTAAAGCTTGTAAATATGTCTGTATTTGTGAAAATATAAGGTCATTCAACTATTATAGGTTTATAGCGCTGGTGTGTTGTATTGTATAAACACTTCTTCATATCTTCAGGCTACTTCACATGAAATCAAATATGCTGATTTTGCTAAAATTCGCAAGATGTCCTCACTGCAGCCCGCAGCTTGATGGCATAGGCGATCATCAACTACATAGCGGACCCTGTACCGTATACTAAGGTAACGGCCATGCTAGTGTGACGGTTGGGTTTAGGGTAGGGGAGGTTTAGGGAACCAGCAGACCTGGTCAACTACGTCATTAAGCAGCGTGCTGCAGCGGTCTCAAAATTTGATATAAATAATCTAAAACAAGACAATATTTTATACTCGTCTAGAAAATGCTTGATTTAAAATCTTCGATATTTGGACCAGAAACAACACAATAAATCTGAGTAAGCGTGCTTTCACACCTGCCTTATTTAGCTTGGCTGAATGGCACTTGAGTTGGTCTTCCCTCTGGGTGCGGTTGGTTTGGGCAGGTGTGAATGCAGCAATCGTACTCAAGTGGGCACCAAAAGAGGACCACAACAGCAGACCGAGACCTCCTTGAAGAGGTGCACTTTCAAATAAACCCTGGAGCAGTTTGTTTGTGGTGAGACCCAACCACAAAAACAAGACGAGCATGTCACAGTTTAAGCAAATTAATTCACGCCTCCTGAAGTGACCTGCAATGCGCCATCTCCGTTTGCCATGCCTTAAACATTGTTTTCAGCCGCAGCTGTGCTTTACTTTCGAAAATGTACAGTTTGTCTAAAGTGAAGTATATAAACTATACAGTACACCATGAGCAGGGTTCTGACCACTCGAAAAGCAGTTCAGGAACTATGTTCAACAACATCTGGCCAATGAGTGATGTGGGTTTTGTCACATGACTGCAATTTGGCTCTTTTCCATTTGTTCGGATCAAAGCAATCAGTGTGTTGTGAAAATGACCCAAAAGACGGCAGAAAACGCAACAATTCACCGCTTATTGCCCTTGGTGCTGACCAAATGAAGCAAACCACAGATGTGAAGCACCCTAATAGAGCAGGTTTTGCAGTGTATGGCCGAGTGTGTGACTGATAAAATCAGCCTTGTGAATTTGTGTTTTTGAGAGTGTGTCTGATCCTCACCTGTTCTCCACATGCTCCTCGTCCTCCTGCTCGTCCTCCTCCTCCTCCTCCTCGTCTGGACACAGGCGTTTGGTCTTCTGGACGAAGTGCACAGGGACGAATGTGATCTGCTTCTCTCCGCCGAGTCGATCCGGCAGAACCACCTCCTTCTTCATGTTCATCTCTGAATACGGGCAGCCGAAGGCACTGAGAGGAGCAGAGAGGAAAACTAACAATAAAAGTCATCTTTTCTGACATAAAGAGCTGATGAAGAGTGCAGTAATATAAGCATCCTCTACAGCTGCGTTTAACATTCAGATCTTGATAGTCAGATTCAGAGACTATGGCAAAATCACAAAATATAGAACTGGCCAGTGTAGTTGATCAGTTCCCCTACAGCGCATGTGTTTGGACTGTGGGGGAAACCGGAGCACCCGGAGGAAACCCACACCAACACTGGGAGAACATGCAAACTCCACACAGAAACACCAACTGAGCCAGCTGAGACTCAAACCAGAGACCTTCTTGCTGTGCGACACCACTGAGCCACCACGCCGTCCAGCAGTTGGCATGTCATTATTGATTAAATGTATTATGTTGCATTGATCAGCCTTCTGTTGTGTTCTGATGTGATGTCTGACTGTTGTAGCAGTGAAATAACTCATGATCATTCAGCGGAGTGATAATACTGTACTGTGCTCTAAACCTGCCGGAACTACTTTAGCTGAGCCTTTATCTGACAAAAACCAAACACCAGAGAGAGACCAGCAGCCAATCAGAATCAAGCATTCAACAGACGCTGTATAAACCTCTATAAAAGAGCTGTGTGTGATTCCAGACACACAAACACACCATTCTGGAGTGAAGCTCAGCTGAAAACATCTTCAGGTCTCTCTCACTCACATCTCTAAGAATAGAGTTTACTGCTCTGCGAAATAAACAAACAGGGTACTGCCTACAGCGTGAGCTTGATTAAGAACACAGTTCACATTTCTGCCTGCTGGATCAGTGTGTGAACATCAGAGCGGGGAGATCAGTAGCTGTGTTTCCATCCACCTATTTTATGTGCATTTTGCAAATAAGCATTAAAAAAAAACAGTTGATGGAAACACCATGATGCGCATAAAAATGAAAATGTGCATAAAAAACTTATACGCCTAACTGGGTAGGATAAACTTTTTATTCGATAAGAAAAGATGCGCATAAACTGCGATGGAAACACTTTTACCGCACAAACTCCAGCATGCGCATTAAAAAAGGTCATGTGATTTTGTTGAAAGAGATCATGTGATGCTTAAAACGTGTGTGAATGGATAAAACGTCAGGCTGAGCACATTATAAAACATCTGAAAAGTTGTTTGGGTCATTATAAACGCCTTACCATTTCAGTATTAGTGTTATTATATTATTAATGACCTCCAGAATCAAGAGCGCCTGTGCTCCGCGTCTGACACCTTCAAACGCCACTGCGCGCTCACTGCAGGTCAGGATTGTCTTCTGAGGCGCATTCATTTAGAAAAGATTGATGCAGCTTCTCCTACTGCAGCAAATGCAGTTTATACTGTTGATATTTGGCCCCAGTTAATCAGGAAGTGACGATTTTGTTTGCTTTGACTCGTTGGATGGAAACGATGCTTCATTCGCACAAATTTTATGCAATAATCCAGTTTTGCGCATGAAGTTTATTTCGCATTTTTGGATGGAAACACAGCTACTGATATACTCTATTACACTGGTTCTCAAACTGTTTTCACCAAGTACCACCTCAGGAAAAAAATTGGTCTCTCCAAGTGCCACCATAATGAGCAGTAATGAAATAAAGCAGCGAAGCTGGCCAAATTAAGCAGCTCCAGCACTGCACAGTTCTAAAACAAGTCATGTTCATAGGTATTCAATTTTTGATAGATTTTGAAATATATGTTGCATGTACATATGACGCTCTTGTAAAACGTTTTGATATCTAAACATTAGCTTGTATGTAGATTGCTCGGGAACCCGTTTTCCTCAGAGGATGTCAAGCAGACAGAACATTGCTGCACTCTGATACGAGTTTTATTTATGGAGAAAATGAAGAAGCACTGCAGTGTTTGGGTGCTCTGCGTTTGAGATCATTAGTCTAACGAAGATATATTCTATGTAAAATATGAAGCTGATCAGTTGATTCTTGTCACATGACTCGCGGTGCGGCATTCTAAAAGTTAAGATGTTTTCAACTAGGTATGCCTGGAATACGCGAGCGCGTTGTGCTGCAAATCCTTCTCATTTTTTAAAACCTGTGGGTTAAATTTTGAGGCTCAAGTGACAAGTTGTAACAAAAGTGTATTAATTTTTTTTCTTTCATTAAAAGTGATTCCTTTGCGTACCACTAGAAGTAAGCCCATGTACCACTAGTGGCACACATACCACAGTTTGAGAACCACTGCTCTATAAGATTACACCTCTATGGTCATGTAATCTGACTGATGAATCACATATAGATTTCTTTAATAGTGGTGTAATCTGACTACATTTGGATTTTACCATAAAAGTAGTTTACGTTACATTTAGGGTGCAGTAATCTGACTGAATTGCACTATTTTTTATGTAATTTAACCTGACTATTCATCTATCTGCTGTTGGCCAGCTCTGTGAACTAATATCTGCACTGATGATTCCACTGAACAATCAGCAGAAGTAAAAGACTGAATATACTGATGTAAATCTCCCTCTCCATCTCTCCGCTGCTCCAGACTCCTGCAGCTCCACAGTCATCATGCTCACTCAGCACATCTGAGATGAACAATTTTCCGCTTCATTCTGAGAGATTCAGCAAAGCCAAAATGAGGATTTCACACTGATGTCAGACATGAGCTGGAGCGCGCACACGCACACGCACACACACACTTAAGCGTGCACACACACACACACACACACATACATAAACAGATAATCTTGAACAAACTCTTGTGCGCGCACACACACGTACACACAACCACACACACACACACAAACAAAATGTCGTGCGCACACAGATATGCACATGCACACACAAAGACGTGTGCACACACAAACATTCGTACATTTTTGCACACTGACACTCGCTTGCATTTGCACACTCATTCACAATCAAGTGTTCACAAAAAATAATATTACACACATGCACACTCTCAAACAAACGCTTGTGCACACTCACACAGCCATGTGCACAAACACAGAAAAATCACAGAGATGCGCACGCGCACATACATAAACATGCAAACACAGACATTTGCACACACACACGCACACTTGAACAAACTCTTGTGCGCACACACATAGACATATGCACACGCACACACTCACTAGTATACATACACACAAGCATGCACATGCAAAAATCACACGCACATACGCATACACACACTCTCGAAAAAACTTGTGCACACACATAGATGTGCACACACACACACGCGCATACATTTGCACACACACTTTTACACACAAGCTTGCATATACACACACATACTTGTGCACACACACACACACACACACACACACACCCTGATACACACACCCACTACACACCCACTGTTTAACAAATCTTTGCATGTTAAACACACACTGAGTGTAATTTAACTCCAGACTGATTTCCTGACCAACAGAACTGCAGAGAACAACATCAACATGTTCATCACACAAACACCAAGCTTAAGACTCTCGGTTTCTCTTTCTGCTTGAGCTCAAAGTAACCACACACACACACACACACACACACACACACGCACGCGCACGCACGCGCACACGCACAGACACGCACGCACACGCGCACACACACACGCGCACACACTGAACTGGCTCGTCTAGAATAAAGCGCAGATGAAGCAGCTCTGATGGCTCATTTTAATATGCACGGTAAATTATGCATCATTATTATTTACTTCAGCTCCTGTTTACTGTAATAAAGGCTTGAGGCGGCTCATATCAACAGCGTCAGGCTCATTTCACTTTATTAAAAACTGATGCAAATTACAGCAACATGAAGAAAACTCACACACTGCAGCAGATCAGCGCAAACACACACCCATGAGAAATATGAGCATGGACATGTAGGATTAATTCAGCAGGACACATCTATTCCAATAACTATATACAATTAAATGTGCATTAAACATTCCTGTTGTTGTTATTATTAAGTTGTGAGCATTCTTTAAACTGACTGCAGGAATAGTCTGATCGACGCTCCTTTGCTTTAACTGATCAGCAGAGCCAGGCAGAATCTGCTGAAAATGCTGATCCAGCAGGTTTTTATGCAGCGGATGCCCTTCCAGCCGCAACCCATCTCTGGGAAACATCCACACACACTCATACACTACAGACAATTTAGCCTACTCAATTCACCTGTACCGCATGTGTTTGGACTGTGGGGGAAACCGGAGCACCCGGAGGAAACCCACACGAACGCAGGGAGAACATGCAAACTCCACACAGAAACACCAACTGAGCCGAGGTTCGAACCGGCGACCTTCTTGCTGTGAGGCGACAGCACTACCTACTGCGCCACTGTGTCGCCCTATAAATCATATCAACATTTTCATATTATTTATATTATTTTATTTACAGACATTTACACAAGTCAGGCCCGCAGCCAGCCTGGTGAAGGGAGTCGTTCTTTTTTCTCAAAATGTGGACTTTTTTGCAGTTATTCACCTCATTTTCAATTTAATTATGATGCATAAATACTCCAATAAGTGGCATTGTAAACACTATTTTTAGCTGGATTAGCTTGTTGTATCCTGCATTTTCAATGTAACAAAAATATTTCCAAAATATTTATAATAAACAAA